GAGAGAGAGAGAGAGAGAGAGAGAGAGAGAGAGAGAGAGAGAGAGAGAGAGAGAGAGAGTTACATACTTGATTGCGGCCGCTGGGTATTGTGCTGATGAGCACTTGGTCACTCAAACTCGGAATCTAAATAATATGATGTTGTGCTGAGGAGCGCTTGGTCACTCGAACTCTGGCTCTGTATAATATGATAATTCATTGAAGTTTATGAGCTGCGCTAAACTGGTCTCTCCATCTTTGGACTTTGGTGTGGATTTTGTGTGAACTCTCGGGGTACGTATGCTCGGAGTGTCAAAATAAGTGGTTCGTTGCAAGAGGTAGTATATAAATAATTAAAATAAACAAGATCTGAGGAGGGTTGACGAGGGGAGAGAAAAAAAAAAAAGAACGGAAATTAAGATAAAGAACCAGGGGTAAGGGGGTGGGTGATAAACAACAAGGGGTCAAGGGGGTGGGGAAAAATGACAACGCGCCGAGGGAGTAAAGGGTAAGGGGTCAAGGGGAGGGAGGGGGTACAGGACAAGAGGTCAAGGGGGAAAGAGGAGGGGGTAGGGTCATCTTTTTCTTCCCCGTCTATAGGAATTAATTGGGGGGGGGAGGGCAGGGCGGGGAAGAGGAGGGAAGAAGAAAAGGACAAGGGGTCAAGAGGGGGAGGAAAAGATGCATCGAGGGAAGGAAGTGGGTGGGCAATTTCATGAGGAAACGAGAAGAGAAGGGTGACGAGGCAAAGGAGGATGAAGAAGGTAAGTACTTCTGCATGCACTTTGGAGGTGTCACAAATACCTTCTGTATTTTTTATTTTCATTTTTTTAAAAATATTTTAATTTGAACCATTTATCGATTTGTGTGACATCCCTGTGCAAGGGGGGACCATGGTAATCTTCTCTGTATCGTTCCATTTTCTAATGGATGTCCCAACGGACTAAAGTCACAGATATCCAACAAGCTTTTCTTTTTTCTTTTTTTGCTCTTTTTTACCTCTTTTTTTCCCTTGTTTTCCCTCTTTTTTTTTCCCCTTTGTCTTTTCCTTTTTGGGAAAGAATTGAGGTTGCGTGTCTCCGAACCTGTACTGGTAGGAAACCCTAGCCAACGAGCTAATGTTTCCAAAAATAGAAAGAACAAAGCAATGCTGACAACAGGACAGGGTGGTGAATGAGGCAAGTGGACCCTCTAAGGGACAGTAAAATATGATAACGAGGTGACGAAAACAACTACACAGCACACACACACACCTCATCTACACCGAACGCACCGCCGGCTGTAGACACATACATGTCAGCCACATTCATTTTGTCAGAATGAAGGCTCAGAATTGCAGTAGCGAATCGCCGTGCCACCTATCACACAACCACAATCAGACAATAAATTTGTCCATCCGCATAAGATCAACATGGTTGATTCACCACCAGACAGCCAGACGGGCGACGTCCAAATCTTTCCTTTCGCCATCACAATCGCCATCAAGCAATTAATGTCATTCTCTTGCTGACCTCCCCCAACCCCCCCCCCTCCTCAAAAAAAAAAAAAAAAAAGGAACACCATCACCATCACCATTAATTTCGGCCCACGTTGCACTACTCATCAAATGTGTAAAACGGCAATTGTCTATCTTCAGCTAGAAGGTGGAAAGTTGGAAACGTATAGTACATACTACATAGTACATACTACACAGTACATACTACACAGTATATAGTACATGGTACATACTAAATAGACATAGTACATGTACATACTAAATAGTATGTAGTACACACTATATAGTAGATAGTACATACTCTATATAGAACANTACATGGTACATACTAAATAGACATAGTACATGTACATACTAAATAGTATGTAGTACACACTATATAGTAGATAGTACATACTCTATATAGAACATATTACATACTACTAAATACTAAATAGACATAGTACATAGTACACAGTACATACTATATAGTACACAGTACATACACATATAAACATCTAGTACATACTACATACTGTACATACACATACAAACATCTAGTACATACTACATACTGTACATACACATAGAAACATCTAGTACATACTACATACTACATACTAGGAGCTGAAAAGTTGGGTACATACACAGTACATACTAGAAGGTGAAAAGTTGGAAACATATGATGCATGTTACATGGTATGTACATACTATATCGTATACAGTACATACTACTACATAGTACATAGTACATACACATGTGTCACTTGCCTTTTTCTTTTCCACATTTGGCAAGCGGTGTATCTTCAGCTTGAAGGTCGGAACTTGAAAACATATTGTACATGCACGTGTCACTTGCACTTCTTTTCCTTTTTCGCATTTTGCAAGTGGTGGAGCAAGGCCCTTCACCCTCTTCTCTTTCCTATAACCGGCGAAACGAATGCACAAATAGTCTAACGCGTTCTCGCAGCAGTAAAGAAAAACAAAATGCGCTTTTACATCCGGGAACGTGCTTTTTTACTGTAGTTGAAATGCACACCGATTGCACTTTCATCATCCTTTTTACCCTACAAAAAAAAAGTACAAACAGTGACAAATGCAATGAAGTGTTTCTGCAGCAGTGAAATAAAAACAACACCAAAAAAAAAAAACAGCACTGCTTCTTTTGCCATTTTCCGTACAAATTTGGTGACAAATGAAGGAACACGGTTTTAGTACTACACTTTACTGCAGCGGCAAAAAAATCGCAGCACTGTCGAAAAAAACAGATAAATGTAGCCATCATGGTTGCGCCCCTGCCGACCGGCGACCCCGACCGCCGACCGTATTGCAGCCGACCAGTAGGGCCGACCAGTCGGCGGTCTGCCGACCAGTCAGAAAACAACCATCCACTATTTTTTTTCAGATCTGGGTTGAAAGCTGTACTGCGCTTGCTGAGTACAGCCCAAATCCGCTGAGAAACTTTTGGGGATGGGGGGGGTG